CTTCCTTCCTTCCTTCCTTCCTTCCTTCCTTCCTTCCTTCCTTCCTTTCAACACTGGATGGAGAAGCATCCCCTGATCTTAGCAGAGAAAAATGGCTGGACCAGAGGTGGTATTCAGCAGATTCGGACCAGTTCTGGAGAACCGGTAGCAGAAATTTTGAGTAGCTTGGAGAACCGGTAAATACCACCTCTGGCTGGCCCCGCCCCCATTTATTCTCTGCCTCCCGAGTCCCAGCTGATTAGGAGGAAATGGGGATTTTGCAGTATCCTTCCCTTGCCATGCCCACCAAGCCACGGCCACCAAGCCATACCCACAAAGTGGTAGTAAAAAATTTTTGAATCCCACCACTGGAAGATTTCTTGATACAAGCCTGTCTTTTTCATTGCGAAGTTAGGAGAGGGCTATTACTAACAATTTCTTGCAAGACAAGAACAATGCACACTTAGAATATTACACACCAATCTCTGCAGTAACCGTGTCTGTCTCGGGACTCTCCGTGCAACCTGCAAAGGAAGAGAAATCATCACTCAGCATGTTTCCCACTAAAAATGGAAACCAAAATGTTCAGCAGAAGTCAGAATGGTGCCTTTTAAATGTTATGCTTGCCAGAAGCCACTTCTGCATCCTTAAGCTGGCTGCTAAGCCTCCAATAAATTCATTAATAATGAGAGAGATTGGCACATATTAACAAATTTTGGGGAAAAATACACATGTGGTTAGAAAAGATTTTAGGAAAACATGTAGATCTTAAACCTGAACTTTTTAAAATTAGGCATAGTATCAGAAAAAAATGATAAACAAAGTGTATATTTAATATTGCATGTATTAGCAGCGAGGATTGTATTTGCAACATTGGGAAAAATGAAGAAATATCATTAGATATAACTGAGAAGATATCAGACTGTGCAGAAATGGACAGGCTTACATTGAAGATCAAACAGAAAGAAGATACAGAACACTACCATGTCCCTTACAATAAAAATGCCTGTATTTAGAAAAATGCGCACCGAAATAAATACAAACTCTCTTACAAAAATTCTCAGAACCAGCTAAAAGGATTAGGGAGACATTCAAACACTATACTGCATTCACTTTTGCTCGCCATGATGTAGAAAAGATGTGGAGACTCTAGAAAGAGTGCAGAGAGGAGCAAGAAAGATGATTAGGGGACTGGAGGCTCAAACATAGGAAGAATGGTTGCAGGAACTGGGTATGTCTAGTAGTTGAATGAAAAGAAGGACCAGGGGAGACATGATAGCAGTCTTCCAATATCTCAGGGGTTGCCACAAAGAAGAGGGAGTCAAACTATTCTCCAAAGCACCTGAGGGCAGGACAAGAAGCAATGGGTGGAAACTAATCAAGGAGAGAAGCATCTTAGAACTGAGGAGAAATTTCCTGACAGTTAGAACAATTAACCAGTGGAACAGAAGTTGCCTCCAGAAGTTGTGAATGTCCCAACACTGGAAGACTGC